AAAATGCTTAACAAAACTCTGTTAAATTATAAGTCCCATAAACATAACTAATAATTTCTTTAATTATCCATAAAATATATATAAAATATCTTTTAGTTTATGTTACATATAAGGTTAAACCTTTGTCTAATCTTTGCCAGATTGTATTTTCTATTCTATGTCATTCTTTTTGCATTATTTTTTCTAACCAGCGAGATTTATGTGACTCACTTTGCCCACTTTCACCCAACGTCTAAAGCCAGCTGCATCTGCCCCGAGTCTTTTTCCACAATTTCCCTTGCTTTTCCTTTAGCTTTCCTCCTGTTTTTGGTTTATTTTTTTTTTTGGTCTCCAGTTTCATCTCGGGCTTCATCTCTGGTTTTGGTGCTGCTACTTCTTTGGCTTTGGCTTTGGCATTCGCTCCTTGTGTTACCCGGCAGCCACTTCTGTCCTACCAAAATGTCATATGAATATTTTCGCGCTCGACTGTCGCAAATGCGTGGTTCCAAGGTCCCAAAGATCACTGAGAAAAATCTATAGGCCCTGGAAATTAAATGTTAATTAATTATTAGTGATATTTGCCTATGAAATATTTTTAGAAACGAAACTTGTTTTCCATTTAAACGTATTACGATTATGGAAAATTCGACCTTTTCCCCTGCTTTACATTAACGTAAGCACAATTTATAATTTTCTCTCAGTGTACCTATCATATACAGTATCTAGCAATTTCCATCTCTATCTGAAATTGTTTGTCTACTTGTGTTTTGCACAATTTTTGTGCATTTTGGAGCAGCTAACACAATTTGTGTGTGCCTGATCTTATGATAGCCCTGTCTACGTTTCCATCTACGTTAGTCAGCCATGTGTGCCCCGCATCCTGGATCCTCATCAGCCCATATATAACCCACATACCCTGCACCTAACATGTACATATATCCCGCCTTCTGCCACTAACTACAAGCTGACTGTCGCTATAATTTTCCAAAAGGATTTACAATGCTAAAATTACTTCCTAAGCCATCCGACCATGTCGTCGTCGTCGTCGTCGTCGTTTCGTATGAGGAGCTCCATCTGGAGTGGGCTGGCAAGGAGTGCAAGGACGAGAAGTTCAAGGAGATGGAAGAGGGCATGGTTCTGCCGGTCTGAGAAGTCGGCAAAATGGCAAAACTCGCGAGGCTTTTCGTCTTTTTCTCTAGTTCTCAACTAAGCGCAAATCCGCGATGAAACCTCTTAGAGATGGCGTCGTGAGAAGGGCAGAAATTGTGATTATTATTTAATGTCCTACATTTTTGATATAATTTTTTGTTTTAAAAAAAGAAACAAATTATACTTTTTGTTAAAAACTTTTAACTCTTATTATGATTTTCAACTTTTGCACATCACATTTACGATAGTCAAGAATTTTTCTGTTTGTTTTTTTGCTTTTGGCCAACATACCAATGTCCTGGTTCTTGGTTTTTGGGGCTTCGGGAGAGACCATCCTTTATTTCTGTTGAGCCTTTCTTTCTTCTTTCTCCTTGGTGAGCTTTGCTTTTTTTTCCCCTTTTGCCTCCTTGTCATCCTTAGGCTTTTGGCGTTGTTCAACTTTCGCCCAGACGCCCACATGAAATGGCAGATGTTGTTGCCGCCTCCCCCCACCAAAAAAAAAACCCCTTCTATTACCCTTTAGTTTCCCTATTTTCCCCTATTCCTAGATTTTATATACCCCCCCCTTTGATTTTCCTACTACCCCAATAGGGCCGAAAGCGGAGAAAAAAGAAAGTAAAGAAGAAAGACAGGATTGCGTTCTCTAAGTCATTCTGTCGTTGCCTTTTGAACTTTAATATACTGCAACATTCATGTGTTTGCGGAGGCGACACCCCGCATATAACTGTCTCTTTTCTCAGCTCTATGGCTGTCTCTATCTCGCCCGCTGGAAGTCTTTTTTTATAGCACCCTCTCTGTCTCTTTCCCACTGTCTGCTAAAGACAAAGGACAACTCAATTTTACAAAAGGCGTTGATGTAAGCATGCCAGCACTCACACACTGTTACATCAACCAAAACAGAAAGAGGGGGGGTGTACAGCGTACGAAAGAGAGGGATGGGTACAGCGTACGAAAGAGAGGGGCTATAGATCGAGGTTAGAGGATTTCTAATAGTAATTCCATTTATAATTTACTGTCGTCGATTTATAAATGAGCCTAAGCCATCAGGACTTGAGCCCCCAAGCCTTTGCTCGTGCGTTTGCCCCTCCTTATCGCCCTCCTTCTTCATCAACCATTCCTTATCGCTCTGGCCTCCTCTTGCCCTTACTTCTGGCTCACTTTCATCCATCTCTGTAGATTCCGGAGACCAAGAGCAAAGCTGCCAAGTGCTTAACATAATTTTAGGCGCATTTGTGGCATTAACATGGTGGCATTTGCATATGAGAGGGTACCAGTCTGTGTGCTAAATGCACTGAGAGAAATTCTATGAAAGGAAAATCCTTAAACTAGAAATGGAAGGTAATTACTGCTTAAATTTCCACCTACTTTAGTTAAAGTTGTTAATAATTTTAATGGTTTTTTTTTTATTTTGTACATTTCCAATTAAAATTTCTGCCAGCGCAATCGCATTAGAGGCCACAGGTGTGGCCTGCACCGGAAGCTCTTAAGCTGACCCGAAGTCTGGCATTTGTACTGCCCGTAAACGGAAAGAGCCTCGTATATATGCATATACTACACATACAAACATATACATATATATACCCATATAGAGGGGACTAATAGTGCCACATGACACATGCCGCACACTTATTAGAATTTCATAAAGTGGCCGCATGCTGCAGGAAGCCGCAAAACCATGCTAAAATCTCAGATTAATGAAACGCTGTAAAGTTTTTAGCTTATTTTTTGGTCACACAGAGAAGAGAAGGGTTAATGAAAAATTGAGGTCTTAGGAGAAGTCTTGTTTACTGGAAAGGAAAGGAAAGGAAAGGAAAGTGAAAAGAGGAAAATCTAAATGTTAAAGTAAAAACTAAACCATTCCAAACCCTCCTTTTCTTAGCCCAATTTACCTTTTCCAATCCTTAAGCTGAGATGTTATTTTTTCTTTTACCTTAAACTTAACCATAATAATTCACTAATGATTCACCCAACCACCCCCCAACAAGGCACACAAGTACTATATTTAGCATATGCACAAAGCCTTTTTGTAATTTGTTATGTGGCTGTCGAGACGAAGAAGTCCCCAAGACCCATTCCCATTCCCATTCACATTCCCATTCACATTCCCATTTCCCTTCCCATTCCCATTTCCCAGATTCCAAAACTTATAAAATTATGATACCCAGAAAGCAACAAATTTTAATTGCAAGAAAATTTTCGTAATTCACGCACACAGTAGAAGGAAAATGTTTTCGTTTGCAGGGATATTTCCACGGGGGCATGGAGGCAAGGAAAGTTGCAGGGAAATTGCAAAGGTTTCGTTTACCGCATGCATGGCGTAAACTTATCGTTGATACAAATGTATCTAAAGTAGCACAAAAACCGAGGCTTCACTGTACCACAAGCACACCGCCGTAAACCAAGACAAACGCTCTAAAACTCGCTAAAGTTTTTGGGGGGCTATGCAACTGTAACTGTGTAACTTTCTCGACTCGTCTGTCTGTCTGTTTGATACCCTGGAAATGTCTAAGCATCGAAGGGTATTTCGAACTTGAGAGATAAAGATTTGAATCAAATGTTTAATATTTTTGAAAATATTCCAATAATTAATACTTAATTCTGCCTTAGAAAGTATGTGATATTTTTTTCAAGATTTTTAACCAATAATTAAGAGGTATTTTTTCTATCGAAATGCCAATTTCTAACTTCCCCTGACTCGGGGTGTGCTTGTGTATGTTCGCATTATAAATTTATTTAGCAAAAGCGCGTAAAGCGCATAAATTGCTGAGCGCAAGCTGCTCAAGGGCTGTCCTACGTCCTACGTCCTTCGTCCTAGAAAACGGAAAAGAAGGATGAATCTAGCGGGAAAACCAAGGAGCAAGGATTCCCCATGAATGCAATGTGTGTGTGAAAAATTGAAATTTATTGTTATTGTAAGCCCCGTGCTAGGAAACACCAACACACACACTCACACACACACACATACTAAAGAAATATGGTTGGGTTAAGATGGCCAAGGGTTAAGGCGGTGGTTGCACCTTTTGCCGTTTGCTGTTTTTGCCGCTGGAATCACTCGCCGACAATATAATAATGTAATAATAATTTTTCCAACTCGTTAACACATGAAAACGTGTGAGCTCCCCGCACGCACATTTCACACATACACAGACACACACACAAACAAGTTGTCCTGAAAAAGGCATCGGGGACTGCCCCCATGGATAAAATTAATGATGCGAAACTGGCTGCGGGCGAAAGCAAAAACCAGGAAAACCAGGTTGAATTCCCAGGCTAAACCAATTTTTCTGGGACAATATTTTTAGAACTTAAGTTGAAAAGTTTAAATAATAATAATAATCATATTTTAAAATGTTTCCCATGAAGTAAAGTGAAGAATACTTTGTGTTAAACCTAAAATTTAAGACCAAAAGAACCTTTAAATTACTTCTTTTTTTGCAGAAAAAGCTCTGTTCTTGGACCTCCCACACCACAAACTAAGCCATCCCCACCTTAAGAGAGAGGTAAGCTCTGAGAGCTCCTTTCAGCCGCGGCACCTGTTCCATTCAATATTGTTTTTAGCCAGACAAAACACAAGAAATCCATTTGTGAAACCTCGTCGAGGGAGGTTGGTAAGGGGGAGGAGGTGGATTGATGACAGGGCCACAGCGCCAATAATTGAAATCAATTCATTGGCATAAATTGCTTTAATTAAACGAGCGGAAATAATAAAAGAGAAGTTGGGCAAAAACGCTTAGCACAGCTGTCTTGGCTGGAAAAGCTGTGACAGCTATCAGGATGCCATCCATTTTGGCCCAAAAACCATTCATCAGTTTTGGTTTTTCTTAAAGTTTTTATCTTGTTAAGTAAAGAAGTCGAGCCAAATTTTTTTCTAGGTTTTTTTTTTTCCAAACTAATGTTTAATTCACAATTTTGTAACGCATGTATGTAATTCGAAATATGAATTGTTACTTGCTAACTGCAATTTAAAGGGATATATAAATCTCTCCATAAATATTAAGAGGCTGATTTCATGCCCAACTGCTCTCTCAACTTTTGGATTATTAGTTTATTATTCTGGACAAAATTCTCCATGGGTGTTACTTGATTCTCGAGCGGCACTTCTTCTGTTTCAGATTCGTTGTCTGAACCAACCAAAAATCGCATACCTTCCAGATAATCTTCAGACATCTCGTCGTCAAACATATCGTCTTCAGGGTTCTCGTTTCGTTGTTCTGCCGTCTCAGGACAAAACCAACGACTGAACGATGGTTCAGCGTTTGGGAACCTCCCTGATGTAGTGCTGCTTCGACCGAATAACGAATTGTTGGCTCTTTGACCAAATTGCGAATCGTTGGGGTTACGTCCCATACGGCCGCCAGACATATCGACGCCAAACCTTAACCTTTCCCTGGTCGGGTATGGCTGATGTTCTATCGTCTGTGGACCAAACCAGCGACGGAACGTTGGTTCCGCGGTTGGAGACCTCCCTGATGTAGTGGTGCTTCGACGAAGCACGAACGAATTGGTGGCATTATGTCGCATACGGCCACGCAGCATATCGACGCCAAACCTTACCCTTTGAGGGGTCACGTATCGTTGTCCTACCGCCTGTGGGCCAAACCAACGACGAAACGATGGTTCCACAGGTTGGGACCAGTTTGAAAAAGTGGCGCTTCGACTTAATAGCGAATCGTTGTCATTTCCACCGAATAGCGAATCGTTGTCATTTCCACCGAATAGCGAATCGTTGGCATTTCCACCGAATAGCGAATCGTTGCCGTTTCGACCTAATAGCGAATAGTTCGATCCTCGACCGAATGGCGAATTGTTGGCATTTCCACCGAATAGTGAATCGTTGGCATTTCCAGCGAATAGCGACTCGTTGGCACTATGAGCCATTAGCGAATCGGCGTAATTCCGAATCTCTGATATTTCATCATCGCTGGACATATTGTCCGAGGAGAGTTCTGGATCAGAGTAATGAAACCTAACCGAGTTCATTGGTCGCCGTGCACGACGTCTCCTTTCTATTGTATTGCGAATCGAATTTGCCAATTCCCGTTGTGCTTGATCACTACTTACGCTATCATCGGAACTTGAATACGTTGTTAGTTCACCGTCAGATTCAATTTCAGAATCCGATTCAGATTCTTCTTCTGGCACCTCCGGAATGGTCTGTAGATCATTGCTTGTCGGCAGAATGGAACGTCTTGGCAATGGTTCTATCAAGCCCTCAGCCCGTTGCGAGGCATAGAGCAGTATTGCCGGGCCACTGATTAAATGATTATATGGAGCCTTTGGCTCTGCCAAATGATACGTACAGTGTTCATCGTACAGCCATTCTCTGGGACCCTCTACGGCAATATCCTTAGACCGACAACATTCGACAAATTCTTGACGAGTTTGATAAAGCAATCGTAGCTGTGATACAGCTATGGCATTACTGATCCTCTCCTGCAATTTAATATCATTACGAAAAGCGTTCCCCAAAGCTTCATTGCGATCCAAGGGATAATTGATTACCACAATTCCAAGCCACAATTTGTGCAGAACGGACAATGGCAATAGGGTAAACCGAACGCAATCAATGATTTGTGGCATCGCCTTGGGTATATCCGCCGGACGATGCGCTAGCCATTTTATAACACTCAGCAAGACCTCTAATTCAGAATTGACACCCAAATTATTCTGCTGCAACATGCTCATCACATCTTCCAATGGCATTTGCAGAAATTCTTGACCACCGACAATGGCCAAAAAGTGTACACCAATCCGCTGAAGCATCAACTTACGCAGACCTTCAAGTTTCGGATACTTCAAAGCAGCTAGATAGACATCAAAGGCGATCTTCTCATGGAAATGAGATGAGCAAAGGAGTTGATAGCACAACATCTCAAGCAATTCCATTTCCAATTGCATGGCTGTATGGATAAGGAGCATGATTAGATCTGGCTTCATCTGCTTGTCTAAGGCCTCCTGACTTTTCATCCAGTCGTAGGCGATTCGAAAGCCCATGGCCGTAAGATCAGCGCCTTCGCGAAAACGATTTACCTAAAGGTAAGTATTTGAATCATTTTTATCGATTATCTATTTACTATATCTATTATAAACTCACTCTGCGAAAATGTTGTTTAAAAAACTTAGAATGCAGCTGTAAAAGTGAGGGAATACACCAAAAAGTTTCTGTGCCAATGCAAACTCTGACTGTGGATCTATAAGGATTAAGTGTTCTACATGGACTAAGATGAACATTGTTTCTATTATTATTTTCTGTTTCAGGATCAATCTCTTGCCTCATAAAATATATAGCTCGACGTATTTGGCTGCGTCGCCGTTGAAGGGAATGCTCATTGGTCTGGGCATTGCGTGGATTTGATAATGGAACGCTACGATTATTCCAGGGTGTCATATGATTGAGAGCCCTTTGAAGTTGACGTCGACGTTCTGGGATATCCATATCAGTTGATAATAATGGGCAATTAACTTGATTCACCACCTCTTGCCATACAATTCTGTCCATATCGAAAATCTCATCAAGGCTTTGGCTCTGCTCCTCCCCCATCAAAGGATGAATCGTAAAACAAGGCTAAAAAAAAAACGAAATATTAGAAAATGTAAGAAAAATTACTGCTCTGATGAGCTGTGAAAGTCAGAAGGCAGCTTCCTAGTTTTTCCACATTTTACTCATCGCTTGCTGTTTGTATATTAAATTTTAAAAATCAAATTTGTAAAGTCAAGAGAGCCTCTTTGGCATGAATTGCAGTGTGAAATTTCTCTATTAGCTCGGCAAGGAATTTCAATTATTTCTCAAGAGCCTGGCAATTAATATCCGGAATTTAAAAAAAGAAAAACTCACACACGCCCCGGGGCGATGCGCGAAATTGGCTTGTCAATTCGATTATTCGCTTGATTTACCAACTGACTTACCAAATACAAATTATCAGACAACTTCAGCTTGCAAATGTATGAAAAGTTGAAAAAAATATATATACAATTTTAAGTAAATCTTGCTGCTTACGACAGCCTTGTTTCAGTCGTACTGTTAAACTGAACTGAAAAAGTTTAAGCCTTGACAGATTAGTTTGACCAAAATCAAAGCCTTCTAAGATTTCTTAGTTAAACTTAAGAATAAGCTGTTAAATATCTTAGAAAATATTCCATACTAAATCTAAATCCTCCCCAAAAAAGAGGAATAGAAAACCCAAAAAGCTGAAAAATAGATTTCACGGCAGAGGATTTGGATTGCCCTCGAGGCCAATCTGAATTTTCTGACTATTCATCACTGTGCGTGATGGCACTTGGTGATTGATTTTGGCCATTCCCAACCACCAAATCAATCTCATTCCTGCTGAGCATATTTTCGGGCCTGGCTAATGGAATTTTAACACAAATTAGTTGTGTTGGTTAAATGCCAGCTCGTAATTTGGTAATGCCAAGTGCCAGGAACAGAAAATGGAAAACACAGGAGCACCACCCAAGCACTGGGAACTGGAAACTGAAAGCAGGAAGAAGCAGGAAGAAGAAGAAGCCGGCGTTGACCTGCGGCATTTTTTGGTAATTACAAGAGAGTCAGAGTCAGAGAGTATCCACCGCAAAAGCAATTTCTTTGGCCAGGATATTTACCACCCAACCACCAGCCACCAATTTTTGGCCAAAAGGATGTTTGCTCAACCTGAACCAGCCCCCCTTCATCCCGTCTTATATTCAATACTTTTCTTATGCTCTTCTTTTGGGCAATAAAATCAAATCAACAGGGCAACAAGTGCTGCTTTTCAGCTCCTGCCAGGCTTGTCATCTCCTGTGGAAAATGAAATCATTTAGCCCTGAGGGCCGCCTCAATATGAAAACTGTTGAAAAACGGCATGGAATGTATAAAAAGCGAAATAATATTGAACATGATTTATGCCATTTCACTTTGAGCTTAAGAAAAATATTTGGCGAGGTTGGAAAGGCGGAAAAAAAAACGAGCTGAAGGGTTGTGTGGTGAAAGGCTTATAAAAAGAAAAGGATAAAAGGAGATCTACAAGAAGCTGAGACAGTAGCAAGAAATCTGATATAGAAGGCAGCTGCTAGTGTGGGAGCCAAGAAATTGGCAGCAAGGAGAGGAGGAAGCAATATGGAAAAATCTCGTAAACCCAAAGGGTTTTCGTTGCATTCCGGCACGTTGGCAATTTATTTGCCTCTGCTGTGCCTCCCCCCCCTGCCAGTGGGCGTGGCCAACTATTTAAAAACACACACACACACACTCACACAAAATAGAAGGTTTTCAAGGAGCAGTTTTAGAGGAGGTGGAGTGGGGGGGTTTGTACCGTGATTAATGCCCGTCGTGGGCTTCTGTGCCTTCGTGTGCAAATTTCGTGTAATCTACTTTAAAGCCCGGGCATTGCATAATTTTAGGCAAGAGACCAACCAACCTGCCCGGCACTTTGGCCCCTTGCAACCCACCTCTAACCTCCTCCCCGATATTACCCACTATCGGATTAGCTGGCCAAAAAGGAGGAGGAGTAGCAGAAGCAGCACCAGCAAGAGGATGACTTCCCTTCCTGGGACACAAGATAAAGCAGCAATTCTCCGAATTGAGACGAGCTCTCCACTCTATGGCCAGGTGGGTCAAAAAGTGGGTTAAACTTGGGTTACAATAGGTTAAAGGCAACACCACAGCAACTATAGAGTGTTATTAAAATCATTTTTGACAAGAACATTTGTCTTGATCCTTAGAGCCAGATCAAGTTTGGTTTTGGTTTTTGGGCGGTTGCACCAAGGTTAAGTTGGTCTACGAATATTCCGATTGAGTTACTTTTGGGGAAGTGAAACTAAGAAAAAAAAACACCTTTCAAAAAATGCCAAACAATCGAAATTCATTGATATTTGTTTCGCTCTCGTTGTTTATATCCAACCACACATATACTTTAAGTGCCCTTCTTTTGATAGATTTTCGGTTAAGCAGACAAAAGTGGCACCACAAAAAAGTGGTTAAGCCTGAACTTTGTTTCCGGACTTTTGGCCGGGCTCGAAGCGAGAGCGCCGCTCTTAAAATTGAATCATGGCCAGTTTAAGTGGCACTTGAAAACGGATGGATTGAAAAAGATTCGAAATCGTTTTGGCCAACGCTGGGCATGAGCATAAAATTGTCAGGCAGCCGCATAAACATTGGCAATATGGTGACCTGCGGTTGTAAGGGCGGGGATTTTCCACAAGTTCAAAATGTGAGGGAGTTGGTTGGGGACGGAAAAGCCTGTTCCTGATGTCCTTGTCGTGTCGTGTTCCGCGGTTTCCCTTTAGTGGTCGTAAACAATTTTTACTGCCCAAACATTTGGCCGCGCTTTGGCCTCCCCACTTCGTCCGCTTTTCTTATTTTTATTTATATTTTTATATTTATTGTGTTTATATATTTAAAACAAAATGGCGCAAGCCATTCCAAGCGACGCTTAGCGCCATTCCAAGGCCACTCAACTTCTCTCAAGTCTCTATGAAAAATAAAAAAAAAGGAAAAATTTTTAACTTAAATATGAAATTTTATAAAAAAAAAACTTAAAACTATATTTTATGGTATAACCTTAATGACCAATGCTTAAAATAATAATATAATCTATAATGTAATACCCAAAACTTTCGCTCAGTGTAATTGCTTGTGCTGGGGCTATGGGTAGTGAGGGGGGGGAGGAAAATGTGAGAAATGAGGGTGGTAACGAAACGCCTGTCGCTGACGCTAAGTAGTTGGCTCAGACGACGGCAACTTTGGACTTGGTTTCGGATTTGGATATTCGGACTTTCAGTTAGCTCCTTGTTGATTTCCCAAGCCTTGCTCTTCGCTTTCCTTTTTTCTATGTAAAAGTTTAGCGCATTTATTTGCGTAAATGGCAGGCTGGCAAATCTTGCTGCATACTTTTTCGGGCATCTTCCCCCTCAAACTTATTTGGTCTTTAAAGAGCGTTAATTTATGCATGTCACTGGCAGTCGAAAAATATATAGATATGGTTAGAGGGCATAACGGCATAAGAACAACACTCCAGACCAAACATAAAGATGGGAAAAAGAAAAGCACATTTCCCATTTTCCTTTTGGGCAATGAATAAGTGGATTTGCAGTAATTTGCTGGGCTCCACTTCAGTTCGGTAAGAGTCTATTTAAGGCTTTGATACCCTATGGTAAGTATATATTTTAAGCAATTTAAGAAAAGAGCAAAGAATTTTCTTCATAAACTTAAAAAACTATTCTAAAAGTGGTTAGTTTATCAAACAGAAGTTAATTTCTAGTTTAAATTTCCCATTTCTTTTGAATTTTTAAATATTTTTTAGTACAGGGAATGCTCGATAGTCGTTATTAAGCAATTTTCCGGTAAAGTCATTTCCCATTCAAATTGACATTGAGCATATTGTGGGCCACCCAACACGGCTTCTCCAGTCCACGGATATTCCCCTGAATTTTCGAGGACAAGACAAGACAGGACAGGACAGGAAAGGACAGGAGAGGAGAGGACAGGACAGGACAGGGGACAGGAGAGGAGACGGGTCGGCATGGGACAATCCCCGGCAAGTGTCAGCGCCTCCTGTCGCCTGTCGCCTGTCGCCATTCGCATTCACGTTCCCTTTTATTGCTTTGCACAACATTTACTGGCGAAAATGGAAAATGGGAAATGTAAATGAACAAAATGAGCTGCACAGCAACAGACGAAGATAAACAAAAATAGAATTGTCCAATTGCAGGCAAGAAGTAGATATTGCTAAGAAGTTGCCGTTGCCGTTGCCGTTGCCATCGCCAACGCCAACGCCATTGCCATTGCCATCGATGTCGCCATTTCCATTTCCCTCATCGTTTGAAAATTTATTTTCGATTTCTATTCCCTAGCCAAGTTTTTCCACTTTTCCTCCTCATCATTGGCCTATCAATGTGCGCTATGTTGACAGTGGCAATTGCTTGAATAAATAAAGGAGCCGAATGCCATTGCGAATGCCAGAGCTGAACCTTCTGGGCAAAGTCAACATACATACATAGAGCAAGAGCATACCCAGGCACCCACTATACTCGCTACACCCACTACAACCAACCACCCACTCCCCCAGGCACCAAAAACCCATTTCATAGTCTCATTTTTCATACAAAAATCATTCCTACGTAAATTTGACTAAAATTTTTTAAGCCTTAAAAAATTGATATATACTTTTTGATAAGTTTATAAATTCTATAAAATATTTCGTAATTTTCAGTTAGGATTTAAATTTAGTTTAGATTTTACTTTCAGTGCATATGTGGCAGTGTGGTGGCCAAGTTAGCGAATGCATTTCTCATATTTTCAAATGAAATTTCATGCAGAGACTAAGAGAAATGAGCTGCTGTCTGATGGAGCGCCAAACAAATGACCGAATGAGTGAGACAAAACCAGGCGAACAGAAAGAGATGGAGTGACTACAGAAAGTATTACTAACAAAAGCTGAATAACCAAGAATTATACTTTGGCATGCCAGGTGGAAATTTATCAAGCCAATAAATGATTTGCTAATAAAGAGTTAACCGCATTTTGTGGGTTTTTTAAAGAATATAAATAAAGTAACTACAAGTTTTATTCCTTAATTAAATAGAAGTTAACATAATATATAACCCGCTTTCTGAAACTTACAACCGGGAAACCCTTTTTTGACCCCCCAAAACAGACCTCTCACCGATTTCCAACATGTTTTTGCCCCTTTAAGCCGCTTACCTGAAACTTTCCTATTTAAAAAAAATTCCCTGAATTTCGATACTCCACAGATACATTCAGAGTTCGAGAGTCGAGAGCCAGCCCTCTGTGCATTATTCAAAGGATGCGTCGATTATGCGGCTTGCTTCCGTTCTTATTTATTATGCCCATGGTGACGACGACCACACGGAACGGTAAAAGTAGCTAACACGGAAAAAATTAAATATTATATATGTATATATTGTGCGAAAAGCGAGTTACGTAGATAGTTTTAAAGTGCAACAGGAAAATAGAAGAGAGAGACAAGTGAAAATCCACGAAAAACTGCCGATGCCGTTGCC